TCTCCAGACACATGGCGACAGTAGGATGCCACCAAGGTGTTGGCAAAACAGAAAGCATGGGCCACAGCCATGGCCTGGGGCTGGCGGTGATGCAGCCAGTGTGGCCAGCGTGGCTTATTTCTCAAAAACCTCTAGATCTTGGGATTTGTTTAAGAAGCAAAGAAAAATAAAAAGAAACCTTATTTTAAAATTGGCTCAAAAATGTTTGAACACCGTGTAGAGCAAATAAAACTCACAGTGGCGTGATGCAGCTCATGGGACGCTGAACCAAGAGCCGAAGTGAGGGTCACCCTGAATGCTGTGGGAGCGAGCTTGGTGGGGACAAGGCTATACACGTCTCACGCTGCTTTCGGGAACCCGTGAAATCCTCACTAAGACCTCAGGCCTGCCAGGGTCCAAGAGATGGAGGCTTGAGGAGGGTAATAAAGCCTATAACTCTCTCTGGCTTTTTTATATAGCGATAGTTTTTTTGATTTTTGTTTTGTTTTCTTTTCTTTCTTTCTTTCTTTTTTTTTTGAGAGAGAGAGTCTCGTTCTGTTGCCCAGCTAGAGTGCAGCAGTACTCATAGCTCATAGCAACCTCAGACTCTTGGGCTTAAGTAACCCTTCTCAGTCTCCCAAGTACCTGGGACTACAGGTGTTTGCTGCCATGCCCAGCTACTTTTTAAACTTTTTTTTTGTAAAGTGGGGTCTTACTGTGCTGTCTAGGCTGGTCTTTAACTCTTAGGCTTCAGTGATCCTCCCATCTCAGCCTCCTAAGTAGCTGAGACAACAGGTATGCCACAAAACCCAGTTAATTTTTAAATTTTATTGTAGAGGTGGGGGTTTCACTATGTTGCCCAGGCTGGTCTTGAGCACCTGGCCTCAAGTGATCCTCTCTCTTTGGCTTCCCGAAGTGCTGGAATTACAGGTATGAGCCACCACACTCAGCCTCTCTGGCATTTTTGACCCTGAGCTTCACCTGGATTTTCTCAGTCAAGCCCTACATTGTGGGAGCACCAAGGGAAGGTTGGTAGGGCAAAGAAAGAGCTTCCAGAGAATTTTCATTCCCAGCCCCAGCTGCTTGGGGTCTAGGTGTGGTGCACAATGCTGCCAGGCCTGGTGATATCAACAATCTCAAGGATTCTGCTCACAGATTTGGCAGCCCAGAGCACTGGGCCTCGGGCTGCAGGAATTCTAGGAAGCACGGGGCAGCAGTGAGTCACAGCCCCATGAGGGGGTCAGGGGGACCCTGGTACAGTATTCAGGGTTCAGGGGAAGGGAGGTGTTGGTCTGATCCCTGTGAGAAGCAGCTGAAAGAATGAAAATAGATTGCAGACCATAAAACACGAACGTGTTCTTGGACAGGTAGAAAGAATAAAGACCCAGAAGCCTCTAAGTCAGCCTAGTAGCTCACGGTCCTCCTCAGCCCTCTCTCCATCAGCCACCGAGACACCAAAGATTATAGAGCACAGAACTAAGTTGTATTTGCTCTGTATAGTGTTTAAAATTTGAACCAAGGGGAAGATGAGGGCTAGAGGAATCTAATTAACTTCTTTACTTTCCAGATGAGAATACCGAATCCAGAGAGGTTGAGTGACTTGCCAAGGTCACACATCAAGTTCATAGCTAAGTCTTCCCCAGCATACTTTACCAACTGAACAGAACCACAGATTGGTTCCCTTTGGAACGAATAGAGACATGCAGGAATTGATGAAACACAGGCAGGATGGCACAGGCTCTCTGCTGAAGGGAAGGGAGGCAGTTTGGCCCAGCGGATAAAAGCACAGACTCACTGTCAGACAGCTAGGTTAGAGTCCCGGCCCCAGCGCTTACTCACTATTCGGGCAAGTTACTTAACCTCTCTCAGTTTCTGCATCTATAAAATCAGGACCCCAATAACAACACCTACTTTGCAGCACTGCAGTGAGGATTGAGTAGAAACGTCAAAAAAGGCCTGGAAGAGCGAAAACTTTAAAAGTGGTGATGACAGTGATGGTGATGGTAAAAGGGGAAGAAGAGAGGAACGCAGACGGGCACCCAGAGGGAGGTTGCACCCGGAAAGCATAGACACCTTTCCCCAGTAGAGTGTTTTCTTTTTGAGAATTTCACTTGGCTCTCTAGCTTGTTTAGTCTTCCTTGAGGACGTTCTCTGAGCACAAGGTGGGCTGTTCTTTGTAGGCTCTGCAAGGATGGTCAGGCACAGTGCCTGTCCCCAGGGGCTTTGGGGTATAGGTCGTATTCAACTCCACGTCTCCAAACTTGGCACTTGGGAGGAGCATCTGGATGGCTAAGAGCAGAGAGCATGGGGTTTTGAAGTCAGACTCATGGTTTGAACCCGGGGCCTGCCGCTTGCTAGTCACATCACCCTGACAGGATACTTGCCCTCTCCCGAAATACCACGGACATACTCACCACGTCGTGAGGCTGTGTGGAAGATTAACAGTATTATTTATTATACATTTCAAGTGCGATGTATACAGTAGGCGCTCCGTAATTGGTAGCTGCTGTTAATAATGAATGTTGACTGTGATGATGTTGGGAATATAGCTTCACCTTGACTTACAGTGGGGGTTACAGCCTAGGAAACCCAAGCAAGTTGAAAATATCATTAAGTCAAAACTTCATTTAATACCCTCCCCAAAACACTGTAAAGTTGGAAAATCATAAGTTGAACTATCATTAAGTTGGGGACTGTCTCCAAGTGAAAAAGGGAAGTGGCAAGCCCAGGGCCTGGCTCTCTGTGCTTCTGGGATGGGAATCCTCCCACTGGGAAAGCTCCCTGAGGGTCTGTGGTCCCTGCCACACTTGCCCCAGGCCCAGCCCTCACCACAGACCAGTGACACCAGGTCTGAGCACGGGACACGGGCACTGGGCTAAGTGCTTTACACAGCCTGTTTTGTCTCACCCTCACAACATCACTAGAAAGCTGGGCCTAGTCTCATCCCCATACTATGGGTGAGGAAACTGAGGCTCAGAGGGGCTGGGAGTCCTTCTCCTTGAGCCTCACTGGCAGGAAGTGGCAGATCCCACACTCAGGCCCAGAACAGTCTGAAGTTATCAGTGACTGCAAACCCATCCTGCACTGTACAGCAGATCTTCTGGTTCCCTCTCCCCATAGTTGCCACTCCAGGCTGCCTCAGCCCCCATGACCTAGCCAAAGGAATGACTCCCTGGAGGTAGACTTCCCTGGTCTCAGTGGGGAGGTGGGACCAAAGTGAAGTGCTTTCTCACCAGGCTGGCTGGGCATCTGCCCCATGTCATCCTGAAGCTGTAGTAGATGAGATGATTGAAAGCTAGACCATCCTTTTCCACCGAGGCCAGTGTTCTGCCCACTGCTCCTGGCCCTACATTCTCTGTTTGTGAGAATAACTTTCCCCTTCTGAGGCCCATAACTCCTAGAGCAACCAGGATGGGATCTTGTAAAGATGGGAAAACTTATGATGGCCACGATGACTTCATTACAAGGAGTCTTGGTGGGGGTGGGAAGAGGAAGCATTGGCAGGGGCACATCACCCCTTAAAATTCTATTACTACCTTAAGAATCTCATGCAAAAACAGTTTTTTAAAAATACAACTATTGTGACTGGGCATGTTGGCTTATTCCTGTAATCCTAGCATTCTGGGAGGCCAACGCAGGTAGATTGCCTGAGCTCATGGGTTCGAGACCAGCCTGAGCAAAAGACCCCCATCTCTAAAAAATAGCTGGGCATCGTGGCGGTTGCCTGTAGTCCCAGCTACTTGGGAGACTGAGGCAAGAAAATCGCTTGAGCCCAAGAGTTTGAGGTTGCTGTGAGCTATGATGCCAGGGCACTCTATCGAGGGCAACAAAGTGAGACACTGTCTCAAAAAATCAAAACAAAACACACACACAAAACTATTGTGTTTTTTTAAGAGAAAGGGTCTTGCTATATTTCCCAGGCTGGAGTCGAACTTCTTGGCTGAAGTGGTCCTTCTGCCTCAGTCTCTTGAATATCTGGGACTACAGATGTGCACCACTGTGCCTGGCTAAATACACTTTTTTTTTTTTTTAACACCTAGCAACAATTTCTTACAAGCAGTTTAAACAGCTTTTTATTGTATGATCTCCCTGACCCAGTGCTCTTTCGAGCTCCCCAGTGAACAGTAAGCCCAAGAGTCAGACAGATGAACATCAAAACACTGTGTCTGCTCTGTAACTGATGAAGCTGGGTGTGGACACGGGGGGGGGGTCTGAGGCCATGAGCTCTTGCTACTGTGGGCAGAGCCCTCCATCTCTTTGAGCTTTGGTCTTCTCTAGAAACTGGGAGCTGTTAAAGATAAATTGCTCTCATGCTTATCCTGCCTTGAGAGTACTAGAAAGTTGCAAAGTCGTCTTCAATTCCCCTTCTGGCTTATTTCTTGGTTCTCTAGAACTATCAAGTTCAAGCTTTCAGGGGTAAAAGCAACACATAGGACATTTTTACATTACAACCTCCCAAGTACCAAACATGATCCTTATCCTCACGGTGCATGGTGCACTCTGACATTCTCTATTCTAGTCCATTTCATTTTTTAAGAAATCGATGGTTGCAAAGGGGTAGCAAAGGGAGAGCATGAGGAAATCTAGGGGTAGTGGGTGATGGGGCTTGTGTATTCCTTGGCTGGGATGGTGGTCATACACATGTGTATACGTGTGGACTTTTACAGAATTGTGCACTAAAAAAAAGTTGAATTCACTGCATGTTCATTTAAAAAGTAAAGATTTTTTTAAAAGAAAAAAATTGATCTTTGCAACCTCTAAATCGAATTCACGATCACTTAAGGCAGTGGTTCTCAACCTTCCTAATGCCGCAAACCTTTAATACAGTCCAAAGAGGTTGCAACCCACAGGTTGAGAACCGCTGAGTTAAGGGTTCCAGTATATGGTATGGGAACCCCTGCCATTGAATCCCATGGTAGTGGGGTAGGGGATGCAGAAAGGGTCATTTTTCAAGCTGTGGGTATGAGTTGGGGAGAGGGAGGGAAGCTTCACTTCCTGACCTTTGTCTCTTCTTTCTGCAGTCTCTGTCACTTCCTGCTTCCGGGGACAGAAGCCCCACTGGGACAAGCCCCACTGGGACGACTCAAGTAAGGAAGAGCCACATGGAGGGAGGCCTGGGGTGGGGAAGGGGAAGCAGGGCTGCGGTTCTGGGCATCACCTCCCCCAGAGTGAACCCCACCACACACACACACAGACGTGCATGTGTAAGATGGCCGCATGCAGGTGCATGTCCTCCATGGTCATAGAGACCTCACAAATGAGAGTCCTCACGATCATTTTTATTATGACCCATTCACTATGCACAGAAAACTACACCAGCCCATAAATGCACCTTGCAAAGCTCTGCTTCCTACCACTTCTGTGTTTGTCTCCATAGTGAAAGCCACTTGCAGCTGATGCTGCAGAGAGAAGCTGGGCCAGTTTGTAAAGCGTGTTGAGTGTTCAGCCTTAGAGGTTGGACTTTAATTGTAGAGGCTAGTGTTTCCCAAACAGGGTTCCATGGAACGTGGTGGCAAAGGGGAGGTAACACCTCATCTTCCACTGAGGACCAACAGTGCACATTGGGCTCATAAAGGCTCTGAGAAGTCCTGCAGCAGAGAAACATGTTTAACTATTTTTAACTCAGTCATTCCCACACTCATTTCACCACAGACCTCTCCTTTGAACGTTGACTGGGATAGCAACATGCTAATATATCTGTGAAGAAATGTGACTGCAGGGTCTCCCGTAGCCAGAGGGGGTTTCAGGGCCCTTGGCAGGCCTTGAGCTGGGACTTGGACCCTACACTGATCCTACACGGAGCTTGGACCTAGCTCCAAGCTCCTACCCTGCTTTCCCCACCTATGAAATGGGAACAAAATCTCTTCCCTGGTGAAGATGTCATGAGTCAACTCACTGGGCAGAAAGCCACAAGTATTCTACCAGGGTTAGGTCTTGCTTCTAACTGGCCAAGTGACCTTAGCAAGCCCTGGCCGTGTACTTTGGCCCCAAAGCATCCTCCTCTAAAGAAAAAGGCAGCCCAATCAGTGGTTCTCAACCAGGGAAAACTCCACCTCAGAATCACCTGGGAGAGCTTTCTAAGTTTTTAAAAATTCTTGAATAAGTGAAACGTTCATTTGCTTCAAAAAATTAAAAACATAAAAAGATATAGTAAAGAGCCACACTTTCACTTCTCTCCCCCAGATCTGTCCACCCCCCAGTCCAACACCCCAGGTAGCGACCACTTTTATTTCCGGCATAGTCTTCCAGAAGCTCTCCACGCAAATACAGGCATACACACATATATGTATATTTTCCCCTCATGGAGTTTTATAAAATCACACAAGCCACGTACCTACCTATGAGCCAGCAATTCCAGTCCTAGGTATTTACCCCAGAGAAATGGAAGCGTGTGACCTGTGTATGAATGTTCATAGCAGCTTTATTTATAGCAGTCAAAAAAACATGAGAACAAACCCAATGGTGAATGGAAAACAACTGTGGCATATCCATACAATAAAAGGTCCAGCAAAAAAAAAAAAGAATGAATTACTCATACATGCAACAACATGGATAAATCTTAAGTACATGCTGAGTGAAAGAACACAACCAAACAAACAAATCCCCCCCCAAAACGTGCTACGTGGTTCCGTGTGATTCCATTCATGTGACATAGAACAGGCAAAACTAATCTGTAGTGACAGAAAGCAGATTGGTGGCCGCCTGAGGCTGGATTCAGGGAAATTACTATGAAAGGGCGGGAGAGATCTTTCTAGGGGATGAAGATGTTCCATATCTAGATTAGAGTGGTGGTCACATGCATTTGTCAAATTCCATTGAATGGGTACCCTTCAAATGAGTACATTTTGCTGTATGTAAATTGTACATCAATAAAATGGACTTAAAGTTAAAAAAAAAAAAAAGAAAAGAGTGTCTGGCCTTCTCTCAGACCTATGGAGATAGAATTCCCAGGAGCAGGTGATTCTGCTGACGGTGGTAGGTGCTGAGAATACCTTGCCAGCTGCTCCGAGTTCTCCAGCTCTGAAATCTGGAGCTCCACCTTTCTGGGTCCAGCTTTAGGGCCTCCTGAGTCAGAAGCACCCAGTCTAGGGATTGGAAAGTGCCTGCAGGGCTCCAGAGGGGATGAAGCTCACACAGGGCAGGGCAAGCAACCAGGGTAGAGGGAGAGCCGAAGGAGCCATGTGGTGGAACCCATGGACAGCCCTTCCCAGCCTGACTCCTCACCACCTCTCTGACCCCCAGGTTTCCAGGTGCAGCTTACAGGTTCCAACTCACGGTGCCAGGGCCTGCTGGAAGTCCACTTGTGGAGCACATGGAGGACAGTTTGCAGCCAGAGCTGGGGCCAGAGCCCGGACCAGCATGAGGACCCCAGTCAGGCCTCAAGAGTCTGCCAGAAGCTGCGCTGTGGGGAGGCCTTCAATCTGTTCCCCTCTGCTCACTTCAACAAACCCAAGAACCAAGTCATCTGCCGTGGATCCCTGGGATCCTTCTCCAACTGCAGCAGTGAGCTAAAACGGTGCCACCCTCTGAGCCTCATCTGCTTAGGTGGGTAACTAGCCAGCTGCACAGGCACCCTTGGTCTGGGCACCAGCCCTGAGGTTACCCAGGGACTGGGGCTGGGGCCTGAGCAAGCTGGTGGAAAGGGTGACGCCCCTCAAGACACATTCAGTGGTGGAGAGCTGGCAGGGGCCAGCATCTGCCTGGCAGAATAGAAAAGAGGGACCTAGTTCTGCCAACTACTAACTTCAGCATCCCCTCTGAACTCCACTCTCCCATTTGTAAAGGAGGGTGCTACTGCTCATCTCACAGGTTAAGGGACAATGTGTGGGCTAAGTGGACTTCAAGTGACAAGTGGGACCTACGTCATGGTGCCTATTCTGTCTCAGAGTGGCCAGCTGCCCCAGCCTCCCCCCGGCTGCACCCCCTTCCTCCCTCATCCCTCCATTCCTCCTCATCGTGTCATTGCAGAGCCCCAGACAACGAGACCTCCACCCACAACTCCCCCACCCACAACCACACCAGAGCCCACAGGTAAGAAGGTTCTGACCCTCGGAGGAGGTTAGAGTGAGCAAATGAAACCCAAGATGCTTGGTTACATTTGAATTTCAGATAAATGTGTACATCTCTAGTATACATGTGTCTGTCATATGCAGTTTGGGGGACCTTTCCGCCCCCCAAGGCCATTAGTCAGCATTTGTCTGTGGGTTGGAGAATAGGTTCCCCCCCACCACTTGCTCAGGCCACCCTGTCTCTCACCCTCTCCTCTCCCAGCCCCTCCCAGGCTGCAGCTGGTAGCAGGGCCCTGGGGCCTGCACTGTGCCGGCGTGGTGGAGTTCTACAGTGGCAGCCTGGGTGGCACCATCAGCTATGATGCCCAGGAGAGCATCCGGAGCCTGGGAAACCTCATGTGCTTAGCCCTCCAGTGTGGCTCCTTCTTGAAGTATCTGCCACTGCCAGAGGCCGAGGAGACCAGGCCACAAGACCCAGGAAAGCTCTGGGAACACAGGCCATTGCCAATTCGGTGGAAGATCCAGAATTCTAGCTGTGCTTCCCTAGAACAGTGCTTCAGGAAAATCCAGCCCCAGGAGAGTGGCCAAGTTCTTGGAATCGTCTGCTCAGGTGAGTGAGGCCTGGCCAAGCCTGCCAGCACCTCCTGCTGTTCTGGCAGTGGTCACAGCTGGAGACTGTCCCCAGAAGGCCAGGGAACACGTTTCCTGAAAACCCTTGCCTGCTGTGCCAGGGTACCAGGCACAGTGGAGGACACTAGGAAAGTAGAGGCCTGATCCTTGGCCTCTGAGAGGCAGGATGAGGTGGGATGGGGAGGTCACACGTACACTCAGTGCCCTCAGAGTCTCCACAAAGCAGCTCTGACCAAAACCAAAGGGACCGCAGGCTCAGCTGCCTCAGGGGGAGTGGAAGCAGCAGGACGCAGAAGGTGAGGTCTCCTTGTAGGTTTGGGGAGGAAAAAAGAGTCTGTAGGAGGAAGTCATGGCTGGAGCCAAAAACAGAGCACTTGGAGGGGCAGGACTTGTAGGAGCTGGGGTTGTAGATTCTGAGAAAGGGAGTGCAGTGATGGTGAGAGGTGGGAGGTCCATGAAGGCTTGGGGATCAGAGCCCAGGAGGGCTTTCTGCAGAGGACCCAGAGCCACGGGGACCGGGTACAGAGAATGGTGATGCTGGTTTGACTGAGGGGAGGAGGTAGGTGACACTGAGTCTGGGAGACCCCAAGAGGCTGAACCAGGATCAGTGGGGGAGTGAAAGGGAAGAAACTACACCTCAAAACAAGGAAGGACAAGCAGAGCCTGACTCCAAAGGCAGTGGGTTCTGTCCCTAGGACTGTTCCAGTGGAGGTCAGACTGTACTTTCCAGGAGCTTGCTTCACCCCAAGGACCATTCCAGTCCATTTTTTTAACTTTCATAATGACCTTAGGAAGTGGGTGTTACTGTCACTCTTTTTTAACGCATGAGGAAGCTGAGGCTCAGAGAGGCTGAACTTCATGCCCAGTATCGTAGAGCAGGGGCTGGGATTTCTGTCCCTCCAGCATCACTCTGGGGCTGGTCGTCTAAGCCTTAGCTACCTAGAGTGTGGTCCTGAGAGCTGATTAGAAATGCAGCTTCTCAGGTCCCACCCCGGATCTTTCAAATGAGAATCCACATTTTGGCAAGGTCCCTGGGGATTTCTGTGAGCAGACCTACAAAGCATTGCTCTGGACCACTTGGCTATCCTGTGAGCAGGGCTGCCTCAAAGCACTAGGTACGTGGTGTGAATTAGTAAAATGCTGCCCCCTCCTGGCAGAGGCAGCCCCAAGGGTCTCCTGGCCCAATGAGGGGAGCATGGGGTGGCTCTCAGCCTCACTCTTCCACCCCCCAGCTAAGATCCCTCCTGCAGGCTACAACCAGCAAAACCATGGCCAGCTTCTTGCCTTTGAAGCTCCTTCTAAATAGATTTACTAGGGCTTTGAAGGTGGATGTTGCTATGGAAACTAGCCAAAGCTGGTGAGATCACAACTGGCTCTAAACTCAGTTTGCGTGAGGCTCAGCTATGGACTCCCAGCCCCTCCCCTCTCCACTCCACCCCGGTAAGCAGAAATGACTGAGTCTCTGCTGGGCCAGGCTCCAGTTGCTGAAAGCTGGCCCTCAAGGCGCAGGCCTTCCTCATTTCTGTCCCACATGTGAGCCACCAGGACTCAGAGGGGGAGGTCTTTCCCATTCCTGAGTCTCCGTTTCCCTCTTCTGAAAAGCCCTCCTTCTTCCCAAGGTGCAGCAGGAGAATGGGAGGATGATGCTAAGAGGGAAGTGGACCCAGGTGGAGCCTGTTTCCCACACTCATCTCTTGCCTCAGCGCAGAGCCACCTTCCTGATGGTGGCTGCTAACAGGCACTGCCACACTGCCAGCCTCTTTCCAGAAAGTGCCTATACAGCTGTATCTCAGGATAGTGCCAGCAGCTGCCCAGAGGCACCAGGGACAGAGAGCTTGGTCAGGGGAAGAGCCAGAGAGGATGCTAGGAGGGAAAGACAGAGAGGAAGGTGGCCTGTCCTGGCCATCTCATCTGTCTCTGCCTTGCCAGGGCCCCCCTTCACCAGTGGCATAGGAACCAGCATGGAGCCTCAGGGTCACACCTGCCCCTCATCTCTCACTGCTTCCCCTCCCAGGTTTCCAGCCCAAGGTGCAGAGCCGCCTGGTAGGGGGCAGCGGCATGTGTGAAGGTACCGTGGAGGTGCGCCAGAGCACGCAGTGGGCACCCCTGTGTGACAGCTCTCCGCTCAAGGGCACAGCACGGTGGGAGGAGGTGTGCCAGGAGCAGCAGTGTGGCAGCGTCAATTCCTATCACATGCTGGACGCCGGTGAGAAGACCTCCCGGGGGTTCTCCTGTTCCCAGGAGAAGTTGTCCCAGTGCCACGAGCTTTGGGAGAAAAAAGCCCACTGCAAGAGGGTGTTTGTCACATGTGAGTTTAACACAGCCCACAGTGGGTGGTGGGACGCTCTGAACCTTTCCTCTGGGACCCCATCCAGGGTGCATGTCTCTGAAGGATGGCCCCGGGAGCTAGATAGAGAGCCCTAGAACCCTGAAAAAGGAGGGACAGAGGGAGCATGGGGAACCAGGGAGCAGGAGACAGATAGCAATGAACAGGAGACAGCACAGCAACAGGCAGGCTGACAAGTGGCAGAACCCTTCCTCCTACCATCCACTCTCAGGATGGCAGCGAGAAAATCAGGTAGATGGTATATATTTGCTACACAAATGGTAACTGAATACCGAGAAATGAGAGAGGGATGGATGGATGGATGGGTGACTAGGTGGGTAGATGGATGGATGGATGGGTGGGTGAGTGGGTAGATGGATGGATGGGTTGGGGTGGGTGGGTAGAAGGCCTTCTGGCCCCTGTCACACAATTCTACGTTGGGATGTGATGGTATATGATGGTACAATGGGAAATGGTAGAAGGTTAAATAGTTTGTAACAAGGGTGGCAAATGACAGCTGGAGGATCAACTGTTAGGTGACAGATGGTGGATGGATGAATGGGTAGTAGAGACTTCTAGTGACAGATAGAGGGCCAGCCGGATAGATAACTGCCTTCTGTACATGTGAATTTCCGAGAGGAGCAAGTGTGGCTAGAGGAAGCTGTAGCAGCCGGGAGCTTCCTTGGGAGCAGGCAGTTTTCATGCCCCAGGGCTGGGACTGACCTGGCTCCTCCCTCCCCCAGGCCAGGATCCACACCCAGCGGGTCTGGCGGCAGGCACCGTGGTGAGCATCATCTTGGCCCTGCTGCTCCTGGCAGGGCTGCTGGTCGTGTTCGGCCCTCTGGCGTACAAGAAGCTGGTGAAGAAATGTAGGTGCCCGTGCCCTGAGTGGCTCTGTCCTCCAGAGTCCCCAGAGGAGATGGGTCTGCCTACAGAGGCTGGGCTGAGGGTACCTCTGCTGCAACCCTCGGCCCCTTTCTCCCCACTGGCCTTTCTCTGTCCAAAGTAACAGAAAGGCAGGAAAATCATAATCACCGATGTGCCCCTATCTGGGACCCAGCTAAGCCCTACTCCAGGCCATTCCGTAGTTCGTTGGCCCAGGGCATCATTGGCTGCCTGTGATGCTGACTAGGCCACTTTCTCTCTCTAAGCCTCTTTCCTCATCTACCAGAGGCAAAATTGGGCACCTTGTGAAGCAGAAGTTGTTGTCCCTGCCTTGCAGAACTCAGGAGAAAATTATTCAGAGATAAGGAAGTGAGATCAGAGAGGCTGGGAATGGAGAGCCCAGAGCAGGGCAGGGTTGGGTCCCTGACACCTGCCCAGGTCTGCTTCTAAACACGTGTAGTCAATTCTCCAGGGGAACCAGCCGCCTCCACTGCAGTCCCCCTCTGAAACAAGTTAGAATTCTGAGGCCCTGAGAAACTCCCAGGGGCAGAATCCCTCAGCAGCAGCCCCTCCCTCCCTCTCAGGCCCTGCCCTACCCCCACCTGCCCCACCCGCCCCACCTGCCCCACCTGCCCCCACCTGCCCTGACATGCCTTTCCTGTCTGCTGCTCAGTCCGCCAGAAGAAGCAACGCCAGTGGATCGGCCCCACAGGAATGAACCAGAACAGTAAGTGTCCCCAGAGGCAGGGGATCTCCCTTGACTCTAGCATAAGAGGCCACAGAGGCAGAAACAAGGCTCTCTGCTAACCACAGACGGCACCAGGTGGCCTCTTCTCCATAGTTGTCACGTAAGGTGTGACTGTGGCCAACAACCATCCCCACACCAGGGAGGGCTGAGGCTTCTTGATGGGACAGATGCCTGAGTGGTTTCTACCCCCGAAGCCTCAGAGACCAGGTGTCCCCTCTGTCTCTTGCCTTATCTTGGGGTCCCCATCAGGTTTCACCTCCACAGGCAGTATTCTCCAACACAGTGGTCAAGGGCCATTAAAACGTTGCACTCACAAAAGAGGACTCCATGATCAAACAGATCTGGAAACCCATGAGTTAAGCAACGCTAAACACAGCCCTTTATTTCAGGACTTATCAGAACCCTACCGGGCATTTTCACACTGTTCATCTGCAGAGCAGGGATACATTAAGAAAGTTTGCTCAAGCTAGTTTTATTGTGGAACAACACATAGGGCTATTTTTAAAATATTCTGATGCAGCCAGCTCCCCCGCCCCACATCCCAGTCTTGGTCCTCTCTTCTAGCCACTGCCTGAGCCACCCTTAATAGATGGAGCCACATCCCACCTCCTGCCACCCTTCCACATGCTTCCTGCTTTGCAAGTTCAAGCTGGGTGTGTTGGCTCATGCCTGTAATCCCAGCACTTTGGGAGGCCAAGGCAGGAGGATCACTTGAGCCCAGGAGTTTGAGACCAGCCTGGGCAACATAGCAAGACTCCATCTCTAAAAAAATTTTTAAAAATTAGCCAGGCTATTTTCTTGAGGCCAGGAGTCTGAGGTTGCAGTGAGCTATGACAATGACAATGCACTCTGGCCCAGGCAACAAAGACCCCTATCTAAAGAAAAAAAAAAAGGTGGTTCTGTGTTGTTACATCTTTTTTAAGTTAATAATCTAAAGCTCCTCAGTTCCTGGAGGGCAGGAAGCCTACCTGCCCTATCACTTATACTCCAACGCCCTGCTTGGTAAATGCTTGATGAACGACTGACTGATGGAAGGCCTTACCTGGCCAGTCAGAGTACCAGCCTACCCAAAGCTGCCCTAAGAGTCTGCTGCTGGCCCTGCTAATATGAACCTTTCTAGGGAGAAAAGAGAGGAGATGCATTGAAGGGGCTCTGGGTGCCTTTGCCCTTGGCCCCATCACATAACTGGAACAGGAAATTAAAGTTCTGCCATGGGAGAAGGAAGAGGGGAGCAAGTCTAATGGTGCTGTATCCTGCATCCACTCAGTGTCTTTCCACCGCAACCACACGGCCACTGTCCGGTCCCAAGTTGAGAACCCCACGGCCTCCCATGTGGACAATGAATATAGCCAGCCTCCCAGAAGCTCTTATGCTTCCGCTTATCCAGGTGAGCACCTGCGGGAGCTCCCAGGTGGGCAGAACTGGAGCAGCTTGGATAAGACAGGTCGTGTGAAGCTCATGAAGGTTATGTGATGGTTCAAAGAGAGAAGGGAAGCCCCAGGGAACAGGGTCAAACTGGCTGCTGGACAGCAGGTTGCAGCAGGGGCATTGGAAGGGAGACAGTCTTCACAGGCCTCAGCCATCCATTCATTTGGAGAGAAGAATGCACTCAGGCACCATTAACCCCAGCCTTGCTGTGACCTAATGGGCCTGTTTCTCTGCAGGGCCTAGAGAAGTCTGGATGGTAAATGAGGCCCCTTGGATTGCCCCAAGCCAGAAGAGAGTCATTAAGTGGGCTGCAGCAGCCCCGGGCTGAAGGCTTCCTTCCTGGAGCAAACAATCAAGCCCCAGGGAGTGTAGACTTCAGCATCATTAATGAATGTTTGGCTGATTTGATCAAAACGGATACCAGGTTGTCACTGGCTCACAGAGCCCCTGTGATCTGACCTACTGTGGGTGGAAGCTCTGTGTAGGCTGGCAGGACGCCCCTTCACCAGCCCTCTGTAAACGGCCTCTTTTGTTCCCCAGCTCTAGAAGGGGCCCTGCATCGCTCCTCCACCCAGCCTGACAACTCCTCCGACAGTGACTATGATCTGCACGGGGCTCAGAGGCTATAAAAGGTGAGCCAGTCTCAGACACAGGGCGGGGTGGGGGTGAAGCACAGCCATGGGGATAAGCACTTGCCCCTTGGTGCCTCACCTCCTCCCCACCCTGCCCAGACATGAATGGGGGACCCTGAATATCCAATCCTTATAAAGGGAAAAACAAGCACCAGCAATATGGGTGATGGGAGCTGATTTGGCAATTAGAGCAGAGGAATCACTGACCTCAAAAATCGTCTTGTGGACTCCACTCAAAAACTACACAGAGCCCCTGCAAGTTCTATGATGGAACAACACCCCATAGGGCTGCCAGCCTCCCAGCATGGAGAAGCCAAACACAGAACAGCCCTTGTCCCTAAGACAGAGCCCAGGGTGTGGGGCCTGTCCCCACCTTCCTGAATACTCTCCAGGGTGTCCTCCTCCGACATTTCCTTCTCACCCCACAGAACTGGGACCCAGGAACAAAACACCAAGAGCCACACTGACTTGTCCTGAGAAAATTCTACCAGTCACTACTTGGAAAAGTCATCCTGATTTCTACTCCCACACAGACTGCGGCCAGAGGCCAGGGGGCCTTTCACACATGTGCTGCTGCCCTTTGGGGGCAGGACTCTTACATCCCCCACTGGACCAACAGCTCGGACAGACACTCCATGTGAGGAAGCTGGGGAGGGCAGAAACAAGCAGCCCTTCCAAGTAGAGACTCAAAGGGTCCCTTTCCTGACCCAGGCAGCAGCCCCCACCTTCCCCTGTCTGCGGGGAACAGCACACCAGCAGAATCCGGCTTTCTTCTCTGACTTCCATCCTGATAAGGAATGACAAGGAAGCTCACACCTGGGCTAGTGCATTTTTTAGTATGTTCTTTGTAAAGAACATATTTTGTAAACATATCTTTGTAAATAATGCTTTTTGTACTTCCTGAGAGTACTTCGGTCTCTTCTGCCCACAGTCTACCCCTGTGTATCTGGAAAAACCTCCTGGAGAAGCTCTGCAGCCATCAAGGTCAGAGGCTGCACACATGAGCACAGACAGCTTAGCACGTTGATGGCATTGACAGCATCTTCCAGCCAGGGGCTGTGTGGGTTGTGTGGGTGCCCTGGTGCCCCACCCACCGCACCCCTCACCTGAAGGCGCCTTCCATAGAAAGCAGAGACCACTAGCTGTCAAGGCCACAAAGCACAGGTGCCAACCCAAGGTCGTGCACAAAGGGGGCATCTAGTAAATCCTGACCAGTTTGGTTTGTTGTTTCACTTGGGAGTCCCAACTTACAAGTAGTTCTAGCCAATCACAGCCAACTTTCTAACCCAGAGTCAGAGAACTCTGTCATTTCAGAGAAATGTCATTTCAATGTACATTCTTTTTTTTTTTTTTTTTTGAGACAGAGCCTCAAGCTGTCCCCCTGGGTAGGGTGCTGTGACATCACAGCTCACAGCAACCTCCAACTCCTGGGCTCAAGCGAGTCTCCTGCCTCAGCCTCCCAAGTAGCTGGGACCACAGGCGCCCGCTACAACGCCCGGCTATTTTTTGGTTGCAGGTGTCACTGGTGTTTGGTGGGCCCGGGCTGGATTCGAACCTGCCACCTTAGGTGTATGTGGCTGGCACCTTAGCCACTTGAGCCACAGGCGCCGAGCCTTCAATGTACATTCTTAGCAAACGATTTAGGAACTGCCTCTTCTTTTCCTTTAAAAATTGCATCTATACTCCTGGGTTTAATCTTTAAGCTTGGCCCAAACTCTACTTGTTTTTCCTCAGCTGCTTTTCAGGTGGACACTAGGACCCTAGGGAGCAGCACAGAGGTGGGGTAGTACCAGGGACCACTAAGGCTGAAGGAGCTTGGTGTCTCTGCCTTTCTCTGCATGATCTGGCCCTGTATTTACTGGGGACACAGATGTCAATGGGCCAAGCCAACAAAGCTAATTCTGGAAGAGCAAAGGGGGGGTCACTAGACAGGTACAGGTGGAGGGGGACTCCAGAGGACCACTAGCGTGCAGAAGAGTCTAGTAAGCACTCTGCCCCCAACATCTCCAACCAGCCCTTCCATTCTGAAAGCCCAGGTGGTCACAGATCCACCCCACTGCACTATGATGCATTTGCCTTCCCCTACTTGGTGGAAGGAACAGAGAGAAGAGGCTGCTCTGAGACAGGGCAAAGGAGTGACACCTCCTGTCAGTGCCTTTCTTATGAAAGCTCTTTAATCTATAGCTCAGCCACCATACAGCAGCCTTGAAGCAACCGTGGCCTACTTTAAAAACCAACTAAAAAAGGAAGCTTAGTTCAGGAGAAAAGGGTCTTAAGAAAATTGTCTTTCAAGAGGTAGCAGACTTGGGTGATGCTTTTCAATAAGATCTCTTGGGTTATACAACCAAGTAGAAGCCACTCCAGTCCTCAAGGTGCCTTGGTCAAGTTCCTACCTGGGCTGGTAGACCAGTCCCCATATCTCCCCCCACCGCCCCCCCCCCCACAGTGTGGAAGGTGCCCTGCTGTGATTCCTGCACCCTGGCCTCCTGCAAGGACGAGCAGAGCCCCCTCCCACCCACTCACTGAGCAACCCGACCACTGAGGCAGCGCGGGACAGTCCTTTCTTAGCCCCTCAGTTCTCCCAATACCACTCTGGCGCAAGCCCAAAGCAAGTGACTTAACTGTACACCCAGAGTGAGCTTTGCAGCTTGTTCCTACAAAGCCAAGTTGCTTCCAGCTTTCCCCCATGTCTTATGTCCTGAGTTCTGGATATTTGCAAGGCAAGGCCAGGGCAAAGTAAAAGGGCCTCTTGCTGCAGAGCTGGAGGAGCTGGATGAGGACAGACTGGAGCCTGGTGACTCTCAGGTGTGTCCTGGGGATGGACTTCTGGCACTACAGCGGCAGGGCACCTAGGGCCAAGCCCAGCCTCTGCCCCCAGGCTGTGCACCCTGGTCACTGAACCACCTGCCCTATGGTTCCCCCCACCTTTTAAATTGAGAATAAAAGGTTTTGAGAGGACTGAAGGAGATAATGCACACAACACCATGTGAGTATTCAATATTAATGGTTCTGGGTATTTCTGGGCATTGTGTGTGGGTGGCTGCCCTTGTCACTGTGCAGAGAAGGAAAGGCAGAGGGTCTGCTAGAAGCCTGGTCTTCCAACTCCCTCAAAGTCTCCCTCATTACTGAACATGCCACATAGTCACTTCGCCTTCTGCTGAAGCTGCAGACGCCCTCCCAGGCCTCGGGAGAACCAGCTCAGCAGCAGAGCTCTCAGGGCGACACTAGGAGGGATGCAAACTGGGCCAGCGCAGAAAACATGCTGGTGCCACAGCCAGTGTCTGGCCCGCAGCCTCTTTGACTATGCCATGCAATGCCAGGTTAGAAGATGGACATCCTGGCTCGGCGCCTGTGGCTCAAGCAGCTAAGAGGCCAGCCACATACACCTAAGGTGGCGGGTTCAAATCCAGCCCGGACCCCCCAAACAACAATAATGGCTGCAAACAAAAAAAAAATAGCCGGGTGTTGTGGCGGGCACCTGTGGTCCCAGCTACTTAGGAGGCAGAGGCAGGAGACTCACTTGAGCCCAGGAGTTAGAGGTTGCTGTGAGCAGTGAAGCCATGGCTCTGTCTCAAAAAAAAAAAAGAAGATGGACATATGGACATCCTGCCTGCCTGCACGTGTGGCAGGAATACAGGCACCTCCCATGCCAGGCTGAGGACTGGATGCCCCCTGCTGGTACCCGTGGCCTTGCATGCCGCAGCTCTAGGTCTAGGACACAGCAGCCAAAAAAATGGCTAAGAAAAACACAAGAGCAGGAGAAGAACTGGGAATTCTAAGAGCCAAGCCCTGGGGCAGAGAAGCAGGTGAGGGACGACACCTAGACAGGTGATACTTTGTGGACAAGAATCTCAGAGGCCCTTCAGTAGGGCACAGTTCTGAAGGCCTCAGAAGAAATCAAGGCCCCAGCACGCAGCCATGTTGTCACCTCTCAAACTCAGCAGGGCCACACCACCACACATAATTCATCAAAGTTTATTATGGCAATTAATTATACAAACATACAGGTGATCGTTCATCCAGTTCATCACTTGAACCAGTACAGTCCATTAGAGGCTTCTCTATAAATAACTTAGGAGATACAAGTACGGGTGGTAATAAACCGGCAGCACTGCTCTAGTATCATGCACACCCACTGATGGCACAGGGAGGGGGCAGGCACCAGGAGGTTATGTTTCCTTCCTGGGCCCCAGCACCCCCAGGCCCACCGATGCTGGGGCTTCAGGTAGTAGACATTTCAAGGCACATACAATTTCCCAACCGATAGCAGCTCCAGGCTCTGCCCTGAGACCTGGTTCATACCGGGAACCACCAAGTTAATGCTTCACTATCACATCCCCTTTGGTCTATTGCTGTCATTCTCATTACTGAACATGCTAAATCCCCACAGTGCACTGGGGATGCATGTGACACAGAGTCACAATCCCCACCCTTTATATCCTAAAGACGAGAGGTGCAAAGAAACCGCCCCCAATGTAGTGATGGTGTTTCAGAGAGCACCACTGGGAAGTTACTGTTAGGAAGTCTTTTGATGTCTGTCTCAGAAGAGGTACTGGGGGCTGGGGAGAATTACATTGCAGGAACTGGAGGATGGGGTGGAGGAAGGGGGCTGCTGTGAACGAGGTTCAAGGCACTAAAGGAGTGGACAGATGGGTGGACCTCAGGAAAAGTCAACCCCAAGTGTAGGGCCCAAGAGAGAAGGGTGGCTGGGGAGGTGACCCAGTCTCCTACTCCTAAATCACCCCAACGGGACCTCAATTCAGTCTCCTAGGTGATAGTTACTTCTTTTCTCCAGCCAGAGACCCAAAGCAGCCCCAGGGTTCTCCAAGCAGTGCAAGCAAGGCCTGGGGTCAGCCCTTACACCTCCCAGCCTCCTCCCTGCACTGTGCTGCTGCCGTTCAAATAGCACACAGGACAAGTTTGTCTGACACCAGCTATTAGAGTTAAATTATGGCTTTAGAGAACTCAAAAATCATTGTTTTTCATGACTCTGTTTTCTCCCTCCAATCTGATCCTTCCCACGGTGCATGGGGCAGACCAACCCTGAATGGACTAGGCAGACACACAGAGCTGCACCCCCTGGGGATGCCTATGTCAAAGATGCCAAATCCCGATGGAGAGTAAGGAGGTGAGCAGGGCCAGAAACCCAGGGCCACCTCATCACCGAGATAACCGGGTTCAGACAGCCTTGAGTGCAGGGACAGACAGATGTTCACAGACATGTGCATACACTCACACGCACACCAGAGAGGTGCTGGGCTGCCAGCCTGGCTAGCACCAGAAATGCTACAGCCAGTCACAGAAAGGAGGAGCACCCAGGACAACCACTGAACAGAAGGCCCGCAAGTGCTGTGCTGTCTGCCTCAGCCCACCTGGTCACACTGCCTGGCACCTTTCAGCTGGGTCCCTCCAAGGCCTCCACGTGCCAACACAAGTCCACTTCTAGTTTCCCCTTAAGCCTCTGCAACAGGTGGGCCAAAGGCTGCAGTAGAGGTGGGAGCAGGGAGGGGCCACAGACCCTGAGTGTGTCTAATACCGGGGCCAGGCAGGCCCTGAAGGTGGTGGAAACCCATAGGGAGGGGCGGGCCCAGTAGGATACGGGGGCTGAGCCGGGAGTGAGGGCTGGGGTTGTCTGGGGAAGCCGGGAAGCTGGGGCTGCGTTGGGTAGGGAGGTTTTCCTCCTGCTGGGAGGTACGGGGACTGCTGAAGGTAACCAGAACTAGGGGCTTTGCTCCCTGCCATGGGGTACCCGGGGCTAGAAGCACCAGTTGGGGCCACGGGATAGCCTGGCCGGGGTGGTATGTTCCTCTGTGGGGACCAGGAATAGCCTGCAGTGGCCCTGGGTCCTGACTGGGCTGCCAGGTAAGGGGGGCCCAGAGGTCCACCATAGAATGAGGGTTGGGTCACCACAGGAAAAGGGGCTGGTGGCAGGGAGCCTTGGGCGGTAGGGCCTACAGGCATGGTTGGGGTTGGGCTGTAGGGCAAAGGGTAGGGAGGCATGGCGGATGATGGTGGTGGCTGTGGCGGCAGTTCTTCGGCCACAGGAGGCGTTGATTGGGGGGCTGGGCGAGGTGGAGGTGGCGGGCGCGGAGGAGGGGCATCACCAGCCAGCTCCTGGGTCGCTCTGGGCTTCCTCACCACCTCCTGGAGCTTTTCCACGCGAACTCGGCGCAGGTGGGACAGCATCCTCATGGAGGAAAAGTTCTCCAGGAATGTTTCCAAGGGCACCTCGCCCTCCAGAAACTTCTCAGCCATTGCCTAGAAGACATAAGGTGTGGTGACAAGGGCCTACTGGGGTTGAGGTCTCCCGCTTTCCACCAGGTCAGGGTTCCTACCTCAGGCCCACATCAGGAACACCCTACCCTTCCCTGGGCCCCTCTGTGCATTTCTCTTTCTTTCTTTTTTTCTTAGAGACAGAGTCTCACTTTGTCACCCTCAGTAGAGTGCTATGGTGTCACAGCTCACAGCAACCTCCAGCTCTTGGACTTAAGCGATTCTTTTGCCTCAGCCTCCTGTGTAGCTGGTACTACAGGCACCTGTACAACACCCAACTATTTTTTGTTGTTGTTGCAGTTTGGCCAGGACTGGGTTCAAACCCGCCACCCTCAGTATATGGGGCCAGTGCCCTACTCACTAAGCCACAGATGCTGCCCCACCATCTGTGGATTTTTCTTCATACCCTTGCCACTGCTGACAGTTACACATGCTCCATCTCCCCAACTAGAATGTTAGCTCCCTGAGGACAAGAACTATATCTGTCCTGGTCACTGTCCCTAGCATTATGTCAGGCCCATAATAGCCACTGCATGTGTGTGCATCACACGTGGACGGACACTAGCCAAGGGGCTAAGCAGCCCTGGAAATTTCCTTCACCAGAGCACAGAGAAGTGAAGAGAGCCAGTCTTCCCACAGAGACTGAAGAACCCCCAGAGGCGGGCAGGAAGCAGGGAGGGGAGGCCTGGCTTCAGTCCCTCAGGAGCCCCTGCTCTGCAAGCTGCCTGGGGCCTCGCCCCCTGTCACCCACTTCAGCTTCAGCTAGTGGGACTGGGTACCTGTTATTTGCATCTAAAAAGGCCTCCCCTGGGACTCAAGGTGTCCTTCATTTTTGCCATTTACAAAAGCTCTCCTGTCTCATGCTTTGCAGTAATCCACTGCCCCTCACAAGGGCTCCTACTCCAGGGTCCAATGCCCTATCCAGGGCAAAGTGATATCAACTCAGCATCTCACCTCAGACTCTTCTTCAATCTTCATACCTTCAATCTGCAGGAGGTCTAACAACGTCCCTGGCTGCAGTGCTGAAGAGAACTTCTCTGGAAGGGAGGGCAGAAAGGGTGACATTTCAAAAGTGCTTCCTGATTTAGTGTTGAAGCCAGGATTTCAGGAAAGGTACTCAGCTTTGTGTGCATCAAGACACAGCCACCACCTGGGGACTGTGAGGTGGGCCCGCTGGTGCTTTTGGTCCAGTTCCCTTGGATCACCTTTCCGAGCAGACTGGAGCCTGACTGACCCCAGCCCAGCCCAGAACTTGGCTGAGCAGCCTCCCTTGTGCCAGCCTGGGATAGGCTTCAGAGCCCAAATGACCTGACCCAGAGCCCATCCTATCTCACAGGTAAAGTCTCCTAACCCATGTGAACATCAGGCTCCCTCACTGTCATAGCCCTTCCCATGTTCCCAGATGGCAGGTCCTGGGACACCAGTGAGACCAGCTCTGGTGAGCACAAAGCTGAGCTGGCTGATGGAGCAGCAGCAGCAGAGGATGAAGACTCTCTGGATTCAAATCGCAACTCTTCCTATTTCTAGCTGGGTAAGCTTAGCCCAGTTCTTGAATCTCTCTTCAAGAGAGATTATTATTATTATTCTGGGCCTTATTATTCTCATCCATAAAATGGGAACAACAATAGTACCTACCCTTTTACAGCTACTCTGGAAAAATATATATATAAAGCACTTGGCACTGGGCCCAGAACACACTCTCAGGAACTGTGGGCCCTCTGCCCTCCTGGGAAGGGGAGCGGATCTGCCCTTCGCCCCCTAGGTCAGCAGCGGAGCTTCCCAGCGCACATACCCAGGGCTGCTGCCCACCTAGTTTTGCCTTCTGCTCCTGGCACCGCTCCACAAGCTTCCAGAGCTCCTGGTATTTGTCAGAGAGCTTTGAGCGGCCAATCTCCAGGGGACTCTGGAACTCCAGGTTCTGCTCAGCCAGGCTTCGGTTGGTGGCCAGTGCCATCTCCCGTTCTAGCTGCAAGTCCTGAACCTGAAAGGGTACGATAACAGACCATCAGGACAACCCACACCACCATGCATCTCCCAGCGGGCTGGGCCAGGGCCTTCAGTGACTCATGGCTTATGTTGGAGAAGCCATGAAAATACTCAGCCTTTAACTACAGTCAGATAGACCTGGGTCCCAACCCTGAGCAAAGCACTCTGCCCCAGGCATCTCACTTAACCCCTGACTGTCTAGGAGGTGGATACACATGGGAAACTGGCACTGAAGGTCAACAGGTCCCCCAAAGCCACACCATTAAGGCCCACATGGGGTTTGCAGAGGAGGGGGTGGACCATTTTATATGAGAAAGTCAAAGCTGGCCAGGAGCAGTGGCTCCCTCCTTGGGAGGCCAAGGAGGGCCCATCACTTGAGCTCAAGGGTTCAAGACCAGCCTGAGTAACACCAAGATCCCATCTCTACTAAAAATAAAAAAACTAGCTGGGCATGTGGCAGGCTCCTGTAGTCCTAGCTACTTAGGAGACTGAGGCAAGTGGATTGCTTGAGCCCAGGAGTTTGAGATTTCTGTGAGATATGATGCCATAGCACTCCAGGGTGACAGAGTGAGACTCATTCTCAAAAAAAAAGAAAAAAGTCAGAGCTTTTTAGGAGGGAAGGGACCAGAAGTCCAGATCACTTATCCCCAAGCTACAGGGTCAAGAGATTTAGAGACCTACTATGGTAAAGAGGTAGCCCAGGCCAGACCCACAGGCTGGATATGCAGTGAAGCCCCCAAACAAACTTATTTGAAAAGGTGAGAGAGCTAGGGCCCTGGCCAAGCCCATGACACCGACTCAGGAGAGACACATCCCTGCCTCCTGGGCCACATATGTGTCCCTCAAAGAAGCTATACAATGAGCCAACAGCTTGTGTCCAACCTTGGACACACCCCTGGATGCACTCACTGAAAACACCTCCCCAAGCTAAGCAGCACTTTGCCCTAGGCTCTTTGGTGCTGCAGAAGCCACAGAACCTTGTCCAGCTGTCCTGTGACCTGATGCCCTATACATTTGCCAAAGAGTCCTCTTTACTGAGAGGAGGGCTAAAGAGTTTGACCCATGACATTGAGATACTGCTGACAATACACTGACAGTACCACGTGGCATCAGAACAAAGGACTCACCATCCACCGTGGGGTGCAGGGCACAGCTTGGCAAGACCAACTCAGAGCCAGTGGCCCTATACCATGTAGCTTTTCTGCCATGGTCAGCACATGACAGACAAGCCAGGCTGGCTTATCCCCCACCAGGCACAGGAAGAGGGGGCTTCTGGGGAAGCCTGCCATCCTGATTTCAGCTGCATAGTCTCTGATCCTGCATCCAGGTCAGACCCACAGCCTGTTCTCCATGCTCCAGACTGGGAAGAGGGTGCCATAGCTCCATGCCCAGCACCTCCATAGACCAGGCCACACTAGGCTCAGGGACTACAGGGTCTGTCCAGCTAGATCCCATGCTGCTGAGTCCTGACATGCTGCCCCAACATCTGGGTGTCTGTTTTCCTGCCACAAACACCTCTCCAGCTACTGGACAAGCATGCTGACTTAGAGACACAGAGACTCTGAGTTTAATCCAATTATTATTAGCCATGGAAGCTTTGCTTTTCTGCCTGGCTGACACAGAGTGAAGTCCTCCTGCTCAGACACCCCCCACAGAGCCCTCATGTATGCTGCCATTGCCCTGAGTCTGAACCAATAAATCTTCAGTGTAGATTACCCTAAATCTTGCCCTTCCCATTTCTGCTCCCTCTCTCACAGCCTCTGCAAATCTTTCTCTGGAAGATGGGTTAACGAACACAGAAGGAGTAAGTTCCAATGTGTGACAAAAAACTAGGGTCACCACAGTTAGCAACAAAGTATGTTTATTTCAAAGGAGCTAGAATAAAGGACTTGAAATGTTCCCAACACAAAGAGATGTTAATGACTCCAGGTCTGCGGTCCCTGACCACACAGTACCAGTTCATGGCCCATTGGGACCCAAATTGCAGGAGGTGAGCAGCAGATGAGCAAGCGAAGCTTCACCTGTCACTATCTCGTATAGCCTCCATGTGGGCCCGTCTAGTTGCAGAAAAGCAAGCTCAGGGCTCCCACTGATGGTGCAATATGGTGAGCTATATAATTATTTCACTATATATTACAATGTAATAATAATAGAAATTGAGCCAGGCATGGTGGTTCATGTTTGTAATCTTAGCACCCTGGGAGGCCGAGGTGGGTGGACTGCCTGAGCTTAGGAGTTTGAGACCAGCTCGAGCAAATGCGAGACCTTGTCTCTAAAAACAGCTGGGCACTGTGTTTTGCCTTTTTTTTTTTTTTTTTTAGTTAAATCATACCTGTGTACATTAACGCAATCATGGAGTACAAAGTGGTGTTTTCATATACAATTTGAAATATTTTCATCAAACTGATTAACATAACCATCAAGTCATTTTCTTAGTTGTTGTGTTAAGACGTTTATATTCTACTTTTAGAAAGATTCACTTGTACCCTTGTAAGATAAACCATAGAGGGGATCCCACTAATCACCCTCCCTCCACCAATCCATCCTCCTCCTCTCCACTCCCCCTCCATATTCTTAAGCTATAATTAGGTCATAGCTATCATATGAAAGCTATAAACTAGTTTCATAATAGGGCTGAGTACATTGGATACTTTTTCTTCCATTCTTGAGATACTTTGCTAAGAAGAACTTTTTCCAGCTCCATCTATGTAAACATGAAGGAGGTAAAGTCTCCATCCTTCTTTAGGGCTGCATAATATTCCATGGTGCACATATAACCACAGTTTATTGATCCATTCATGGATCGATGGGCACTTGGGCTTCTTCCATGACCTAGCAATTATGAATTGGGCTGCAATGAATATCCTGATACAAATAACTTTGTTGTAATGTGATTTTTGGTCTTCTGGGTATATACCTAATAAAGGAATTGTAGGATCAAATGGCAGGTCTATTTTTAGTTCTCTAAGTGTTCTCCAGACGTCTTTCCAAACGGAACGTATTAGTTTGCATTCCCACTAGCAGTGTAGAACTGTTCCCTTTTCTCCACATTCATGCCAACATCTCTGGTTTGGGGATTCTGTGATATGGGCTACTCTTTGGAGTTAGGTGATATCTCAAAGCAGTTTTGATTTGTATTTCTCTGATGATTAAGGATGGTGAGCATTTTCTCATATATCTGTAGGCCATGCGCCTGTCTTCTTTAGAGAAATTTCTTTTCAAGTCCCTTGCCCACCCTGAGATAGGAATAGCTAGGCATTGTGGCCAGTACCTGTAATCCCAGCTACTCAGGAGGCTGAGGCAAGAGGATCACTTGAGCCCAAGAGTTTGAGGTTGCTGTGAGCTATGACGCCATGCTACTCTACCCAGGGTGACAAAAATAAAAAATAAAGTGCACAATAATGTAATGTGCTTGAGACATCCTAAACCAGGCATACTCAAAGTACGGCCCACGGGCCACATGTGGCCCGCCCATGTGTTATCCCTCGGACATTTATCTGGCCTGCAGGTGTTTTTGCCACCACTGCCTAAACTGTAGTCTGACCCTCCAACAGTCTGAGGGACAGTGAACTGGCCCCCTGTTTAAAAAGTTTGAGGACCCCTGTGACCTAAACCATCCCCTGACCCCACCTCTCACCAGCAGCTGTGGAAATTGTCTTCCATGAAAGTGGTCCCTGGTGCCAAAAAGGCTTGGGACCACTGATCCAGGTAAGGAATGCCCCAAATACCCTAACTTGATCAGTAAACATTCTACACATGTAAAAAAAAAAAATCACATGCACCCCATAAATATTTACTGTATCAACAACAAAAAAACCTGTTTCTAGCTAGTCAGAGTTTTTTTGGAAGTCTGGGCAGCTCATCCTGCTGAGTTCCTGTCTGATCCACGTGAGTATTTTTTCCCTCAGAGATTTCATATCGACTGGGCAGGCACAGCTGCTTGTCTGGTTGCCTTCCTCCTAAGAGGTGTTCACTATGAATTCTTCCGACAGTCACTGAAAAGATGTCAATAAGACATTTCTGACACCCCACACCACCGTGCATACTCTGTTACATGGACAAATGGCCTCTGACAACTTTCTTGTCTCCAAGCAGCATCTATGCCCCAAACTAAACAAGCTCCTGTCTCTTCCCACAATCGCTCAGTGACTCGATCATTGCTTTATAGCCCACGGTAGAAAAGCTAGTTAGAGATTTTTTGAAAGTCTGGGTAGCTTGCCCTGCTGAGTTCCTGTCTGATCCATTGAGTACTTTTTCCCCTTGGAGAATTCTAATCGACTAGGCAGGCACGGCTGCACGTCAGATTGCCTTCCTCCTAAGCGGTGGCTTCTGCTAACATGTCCAGTGAGCCTACACTCCACCGGGGATCAGCCTGCTCAGCTCTGTGCACTTTGGAAGCAGGTCTTGGGCTTCCCATGACAATGCACTCATGGCAGAGACAAAAAACATTTGGTGCGCAGTATGTGATGGAAGGAAGACCTGCACTCTGCCCAGCACCTGTGCCAGGTACATGCAACGCCTGACAGCACTGACAGACTACGTAACCAGCTGAGTGGCCCTTGAGCTTAAGCAAGACAGGCTCTGCTTCACAGCCTCACTGAAGGAGCTCAGCTGGAGACAGTAAGGAAGCCTGGGCAGCAGGACATACCATACAGAGTCCCCAAACCTCTCTTCACACTCTGCCTACCAGGAGCCACCTCTAACCCTAGCAGAGATTCCTCACTTGGGTAACAGGGCAGGTGGTAGGCAGAGCACAAGCAGGGACAGGAGCAGAAGACACATCAGTGCTGGCACCCTCTACAGCCCAGGAAGTGCTCTGGAAGGGGCACAGCACAGGGAAGCTGGATGGAGAACTGTTTTTCTTTTTTAACATATTGTGAATTCACGGAAGAGACATATCACACCCATATATCAGTGAAGAGAAAAATATACTCCACGTGCTAATCAAATGAGCTTGGCATTACTGGTATTCATGTCTTTCCCTTACCTCAGAGATAGGAGGTAGGAAGGTTGCAGTCACTCAAGGGGTGTGACTGGGGGGACTTCTGGCTATGTGGCCACATCTGGTCATTGACCTCTCCCATCTCACACAGGAGTCACAGGGTCACAGGAGATGGGTAGGGCGGGGAAAGCCCTTTATGAAGCATGTACAGACACAAGTGTTGTGGTGCTTCCCACGAGGACTCTGATTAGGAGTTGGAAGGACTAGGTGCCAGTTGTGATGAGAAATAAGATCAACTAGAAGAGCTGTACTTGGCCCAAGAATGGCTCCTGGCTTCTTAGAATCACCTGGAGATACAGGCTCACACAAGGCCCTTGGGAAAGGCAATCTCAATTCATACAGTGCTTTGAGGAGCTGAATCCCCAGATTCAGGCTGGAAGACAGTGTGGAGACTCCTAGGACACCTGGATCCCAGGGGAGTACCAGGGAGTCAAAGTCCCCGTCAGGGCTCCAGGCTCCCTAGCCTAGGCTCCCTAGGCCCCTGCCTAGGACTCCCAGAGGATCTAGGAATTGGCCTAAAACCTCAGGGGCTCCTCTGGCTGGGTCCAAATAAGGGAGGTGTCCACAGAAAAAGAGATGAATTTGGCCAAAGGCCCCAATAAACCAGCATCATTTCAGAGGGCCTCTTAAAAAGCCCCATCTGCTGGCCTTTGTCAGGCCCTATGATGGCCTCCCTCTACCTCATGGGACTCCAGGGCCAGCCGGTCAATTGCCGTGGAGTCATTCTGCATCTCCTCCAGCTCCTGCAGCGTCTTGTCCTTCAGCTTCTCCATCTTTCCCTGTGAACACAGAGCACCACCCAAGTGAGTGGGGGGGGGGCAGTTTAGGGGGAAGGGACCCCCCCCCCAGTCCACACACCTTACTCTCAATGATAAACTGGGGCTTCCTGCAATGACACTGCTCCATGGGGAGGCTGAAGGGCAAGGGTCCCAGGGGGCACATTCATAAGGCTCTGCCTGCCCCTCTCCCCAGGGACACCATGGAATTGCTCCTTCAACTCATACTAGGAACAAAAGGACATGTGAAAGCACCCTTAGCAGGCGGTAGGCAAGGCCACAATTTGTCAGGTGCTGGATGGAGCTCCCTAAGGAGCAGACAGGAAAAGGCTGCAGGAGAGAGCCAGGCAGCAGAACCAGGAGACTAACTTTGGCCCAAGGCCACCTGCAAGCACTGATGCCATCATGCCTTCTGGTAGGTGTCTATTTCTGTCAGAATCAGAAATGCATCAACCTCTATCCCCAGGGCCTTTGCTGGCTTCACATCACAGGTTCAATTATGTCACTACTTGTTATATTTAGTGCACAACAACCTCAGGCTTCCCTCAAGAATTCCCTGCAACTGCAGCCCTTTCCATACCACAAAAACAGACTGTTACATGCATGTCCTCATCAGAGCAAGGGGGGAATAGTCACCCAACTGGCCTCTCAGGCAATCAGGAGAAAAAGAAATTGACCCAAATAGGACATCCACTTTGACTGAGAGCTGGTGTTGGGGTCCTCTCCCTGTCCCTCTGTCTAGAGGGCCATTGATCATCTGTGTAAGAGACAGGTCACCACCATGCCCAGGCGGGAAGCCCAGGGACCGAGGAGTGAAGGCACAAACACAGCCAGCACTTGCTTCCTTTCTGCTGACAGGTGCCTCCATTTTCATCTGGGTTTTATCTTTTCTAGATGTGTATTTCATAGCTTTAATGTTGACTTTTCTTATTACAAAGGTTATGCTAGTTTTTGAAAGATTCCAGCAGAAATCAAGGGTTCTTCACACCCTATGACACCAGCTAGGGTGACACACACTGATGATTCATCCAAGATGAACCAAGAACCAGGGTTACAGAAGTGTAGACAGAAGGAGCCTTCTGCAGGTCTCAGTATCCCCATCTGTAGCAGGAAGAACATGGCACCTCCTAGGGCCATCTGAAAGGTGAAAGGAGACACTGATAAACAGTGACTCCCATGTGCTAGGAAGTCCTGTGGGCTCCTCAGGAGCACTTTTTCATGCTCAGAAGCACCCTGGTTTAAATAACAAATCATATGGCCACCCTACTGGCAAAGAGCTATCCAGATAGGGACACGAGCACTATGTGTCATCTCCTGAGAGGTGAATGTACAGAGACTGCCAAATTTCAGTGTGCACCTGGGTTCCGGAGAAACTTGCTGACAGCATAGGTGCCCGGCCCCATTCACACAGCTCTGCATCAGTAGGTCAGGTCAGGGCCCAGAAGTCCAGAACAGTCCTGGAGACACTGACACAGCTAGTCCAGGGCCAGATCTTGCTCTGTGACAGTCATGTCACAATGGAGGCCACTGGCTTCTGAGCATCTGTAACATGAGTCTTCCCCATGCTGTCTCATTCATGAGGCCAGAGAGCAGCAACTGTGCCATGTGCAAATGGGAGACCAGAAAGGTCAGGGAGCAAATGGCAGAGCTAAAATTCAAACCTGCACTCTGTCTCACCCTCCTGTTTCAAAAACCCTTGGTCTAAAAGCTGGAGCCAGGGAATCACAGACTGCAAATACCTTAGAATAGAGCAGAACTCTAGAAGTCATACCACCATCACACCATGGTGATGGTGTGATGGCAGAACTCTAGGAGTTTCCACCATGGCAGAACTCTAGGAGTCATACCACCATCATACCACATCACATCCCAAAGGAGTCTGCCACAAGGAAGAGCAACATTCTGAGGATGCCAGAACACATCAGGGGCTCAAGCCTCCAGGCAGACAGAGCTAGTCTGAGTCCAGGCCCTGCCACCTGCCAGCTATGGGACCTCGCACAACTGGAACTTCCCTGAGTCTCAAATTCTTTATCTGTTAAGTGGGTCTAACACTACCTCAGTTATACCTCAGTGAGATAATGTGGGCAAAGTGCCAGCTTCACATGAGGCCTGGCCTGGAACAAACACTGGTGCAGGATTCCAACAGGACTTTCCTCCAGAGTGGCCCAGCCAAGAACTTGCAGCCACTGTGGCTGCACTCTGGGAGTGGCCTGCCATGGAGCAGAGTGTCTGCACTTTCCTACAGTCAGGCACAGATGTGGCAAGACAGAAGATGGAAACCCCAGCGTGGGCAGCAGGCTGACCACACGCAAACAGCTCTGTCAGCAGTGCTATCGGCCAGAGCGTCCCATGGGTCCAATGCTCGTTGTGTCATGGAAACAGGGAGGTTTCCATGTGCGAGGAGGGCCCTGAGCAGAGCCCAGATTCCCTGGGACAGGCACCAACTCTCCTCCCAACCACACCACAGGAGGTGTGGTTACATGCACAAATATTAGATTTAAGGCAACATACCCTCGAACATTGGTTGTGCATCCAGGTTGTGCATCATCTCGAACAACAGATCACAAACTGCGGCCTCAGGACCCCTTTTCACTCCCAATAGTATTGAGGACCACAAAGAGGCTTTGTGGGTAGATTATAGCTCACAGTATTTACCATATTAGAAATTAAAAATGAGAAATTTTTAAAACACAAGAGGAATGAGCAAGCAGACATCCCAGCAGTCACCATAATGACACGATCACAGGTTCGATAGCCTCTGAAAACTCCAATATGCTCACGTGAGAGAGGGAAGAAGGAAATAGTGTCGTAAAATCATTATGAAAATCGCTCTTAACATCATGGATGGCCTGAAAGGGGTCCCTGGAACACACTTAAGAGAGCTACTGGCCTATAGGTATGGAGAATCCTCTGCAGCTAGGCTGCCTGGGTATGAATCCCAGCTCTGCCCCTTACTGCGTTACCTAACCTTTGTGTGCCTCAGTTCTCCATCTGAGGGAAAGCGCCTAGAACAGAGTAAGCACTGCAAAATTAACTGCCATCATCAAACCCCTCAGGAACACCTTACACAGCAGGCCCCACTGTCACCAACCTCCCAGAGGAGGCTGGCAGAGGCAAAGTAACTTGCCCAAGGCAACACAACTAAGAATGGCAGGGCCTCAACTAGCCCAGGGGGTTCTACATGTACATCAGAACCACATGGAATCCATGCCTAAAGCCAGAGTCCTAAATCCTCCTCCAGATCTAGAACTTCAGAATATCCAGGGTTCTTAACTTAATTTTTAATGAAATTTCCATTACAACTAAACTACCCATATCAAACTGGTTTGGCACCTATTTTCTTATTTTTCCCTTTCTCTAAAACTCTAAGGCAGTGTTTTTCAACCTTTTTTAAAATCTCACAGCACACTTGAACCTATAGTTAAGCTTCTGTAACACACTTAAATTATGTTGATCAAAAAAAGAGTAAAAATAGAACATACTTACTGTGCTTTGAACTTCTTTTAGAAATAATTTAATTAATGAGCTTTAAAATTTTTCGCAGCTCACCTGGGATCCTCTCATAGTATACCAGTGTTCCATGGTACACTGGTTGAAAATTATTGCTCTAAGGGAATTTGTGCAGAAATAGCCCCAACTGACAGAGGAAAAATTAAAGACCCCCCAGAAAAGAAGGGGTTTGTCTGCCCATCCCGGCAGAGGCAGGATGAGAACACTGGCAGTGCTGTTTCCGCTGGGTAAGTCTTTGCCCAGGATTCTAGACCCACTTCCCTTCGGTGACTACAGCTGGGCTCTGTGTGGAGATGATGAGACGTTGACATTGAGGTGCACAAGACAGGGTCTTTCACGCCAGGATTCAAGCTCTAGATTTGCAGGCCTGTGACACTGCGTATCACTAAGTGAGGCAGAATCAGAATCATCCCCCACATACATTATCAAGACCACCAGGTAGAACCTCAGGGCAACAGCTCACAAGAGGGGGAGATTTCATATGATGACAATGCCTACTACAACACAGGCTGACAGGCCAGGAGCCCCACTCTACCTGAGGCCAAGTCAGGAGCCCAGGTGGTCTTACCCAGCTTTAGCCTCCTCTGCCCACTGGCCTCTCCTCTGCTTCAGAAGGACTGTCAGCATGTGTAAGACAGACACGTTCCCAACTCTTCGTGAATGAGGTGTGCTCATGAACCTACTCCCAACTTTGCCAAATGACTGCAGGTCAAACGTTCGCTTTTTAGGGACTCAATTTTCCTCATCTAGAAAATGGATAAGCAAATGCTTATCCTCACGTGGCTCTTTTCTTCGGAGATCAAAGTCCTCTGTAAACTCTCCCGTTAATTTACATAATCACTCTAGTAAGTAAACTGAGCACAGGGCTTAATTACCCATCTGAGAGATGAAATGAAGCCCAGAAAAAAAGAGGGAGGATACTGCCCCAGGTCCTATATGCTTCTGGGGGTAAAATCACCAGAGGCCCAAACCAACAGAGGTCCCTGTCCCTGCCCTCCCTGGTGTTTTCATTCCACCTACGCCTTTGCCCTACCTGTTTTGCCCACCACAGGGTGTAACTAAGACAAAGAGTTTGGCTATATATTACGTAAGGCCCAGAGATTTCAAGCCTGCTCAAGCAGATTGCTTACCCCAGATCCTCCCTGTACCAGCCTCCAGGATGGGCGGCTCCCCCACCCTCACCCAGCAATGCAGGCTGGGCAGGCAACTACCATCTTGTGAGGTTCATTGCAGTGTCACCTACCCTTGGAAGTTACCAGTGCCTTCTTTCACAAGTCACAGAGCCATCACCTGCTCCTCTGAGCTACCCAGGGAGGCCAGAAGCAGTGAGCACTCCTCTGGGTCCCTAATTTGGAAAAGGAGAGAGAACAGGAAACTATTTTTCACCAGGCCCACAGAGCTATTGATTAAACAGAGGCCCCTGAGGCAACTGGTGCTGGCAGTGTCTGACTCCCAGTCACCCAACATAGGGGAAGAGTCCAAGCCAGTGCTTCTTGGGCATAGCCATCAGAGATATCTCAAAGTAGAGAACTAGGGCTCCTGAGATGTTATTCAGGGACCCAGAGTCTGTGGGCTCTATGTTTCTGGAGAGTCTGGCAAATCCCATTACCAGGCCCTTAGCATCAGGGCCCTGGCCAGACACCTCCCACTGCCAACCTGCCCAGGAGGACACAGGGACTGCTCTGGTGCCATCTGGTGTCTGTTTTGGGGGTAGGGAGGAGGAGAGAGGAGTTAATGGTGTGAAGAAACAAGCCCCTTGAAGATAAGAACAATGTCTTATGCATCTTTGTCTTCCCAGTGCCTTGCACTGAGGGCTCCCAGCCAGCCAGTGGATGAGTCCCTTAAGACAGTGGTTCTCAACCTTCCTAATGCCACAGCCCTTTAATACAGTTACTATGGGCGGTGACCCACAGGCTGAGAACTGCTGCCATAAGACATGGAGAGGGGGCACGGTGACTCAAACCTGTAATCCCAGCACTCTGGGAGGCTGAGGCAGGTGGATCGCCTAAGGTCTGAGTTTGAAACCGGTCTGAGCCAATAGCAAGATCCCAGTCTCTACCAAAACCAGAAAAATTAGCCATGCATTGTAGTGGGCACCTATAGTCCCAGCTACTCAGAGGCTGAGGCAGGAGGACTGCTTCAGCCCAGGAGTGTGAGGTTACTGTGAGTTAGGCTGAGGCCATGGCACTCTAGTCTAGGTGACAGAGCAAGACTTTATCTCAAAAAAAAAAAAAAAAGACACATGGACAATTATTCATGCCTTCCTCCATTTCTTCATTCTTCTACTAAATAAACACACATTGAGCAATCAGTATGGGCCAAGAGCAGTGCAAGGCCCCACATGGTGAAAGGAAGGATAAAAGCAGGCAGAAGGTTCTCACTATGAGCCAGACACAGCCTTGACACAAAAAACTGATCCTAACTCTCAAGTAGGATCATCCTACTTGAAGACCTGAGATCTCAAGTATCTCTGTCTGGTTTGAGAAAGTAAAAGGAAAAAAAAAACCCAAAACTCACAACAAATCATTGTGAGTATAGGTGAGGGAGGCCTAATGGAGGGGGGAACCAATAGAGGAAGGAGTGAGGGTAGGCAGCTCTCAGGTCCTGGCTCGAGGGGCTGCTGGAGCCAGACTAGAAGCAGTAGAGCCCATGTGGGAGCCACTGCAGATACGAGGGCCTAGGAGGATGGGAGGGCTGGCAGGCAGGCAGGCGGCTACACAGGCTCACAGGTACAATAGGACAACACCTTTTCTTGAGGTGATATCATCAACTCGAAGGTGATCAGACTGGGAACAAGTGGGGATGCTAGTCTGTGTTTCTTGCACCAGGAGAGAAAATGTGTCACTGTTGCCTTATTAACAACCCCTGAGAAGGAAAAAGGCTTGCTCTTTATCCCCCATTTTAAAAATTTTTTTAAAGTTGTGTCTCCTCTGCAGTTTTCACTTCTACCAGAAGTCACAACCCCAGTCCCCTACAAGGACCAGGTCTGTGAGTCAGAGGCCACATGCCAGATAAAGAGTGTATCCAGCCAGAAAGCAGCTCTGGGCCCTCCTGCAGGGAGGAGGGCAGGCCTGGTCTTGCCAGACCTCTCCCAATTTTAAATTCCAACAGCCAATTATTCAAAGTTGTAAAAAACTCTGAGTGGTCGTCAAAATCATGGGCTGCAATGGGTTTTTAACTTGAAATAAACACAGAACCCTCTCAAGACTGAGCAGTGGTGACAGATCACAGAAGAGGGACTGGGAAGCAGAGGGGAGAGGTGACAAAGACACCTCAGAGGTGTCCTGAGCTCCTCTTCTATCACAAAGCACTGAGTGGGGATGGGGTGGGTGCACAGTCTAAAAAACGCTGGGGCTGGGCGGTGCCTGTGGCTCAGTGAGTAGGGCACCGGCCCCATATACCGAGGGTGGCGGGTTCAAACCCAGGCCCAGCTAAACTGCAACAACAACAAAAATAGCCAGGTGTTATGGTGGGCACCTGTAGTCCCAGCTACATGGGAGGCTGAGGAAGAGAATCGCCTAAGCTCAGGAGTTGGAGGTTGCTGTGAGCTATGACATGACAGCACTTTACTGAGGGTGACATAGTGAGACTCTGTCTCTAAAAAATAAAAAAATAAAAAAAAAACGCTGGGGCTTCATAATCAGAACCAAGGAAGCAGCATTTCTGGGTGCAGCTAGGCCCTTCCTCTTAGGGACAGCAAAGCCTTGGCCATCCGGTACATGCTGCTTTTATCCTCTGGTCCTCACTTCTTTACATTACTTTGCATCTTGACTAAATCAACCCCCACAGGCCTTGAGCATGTGGAACAGGACCTAGCAGAACACAGCACAGGCCAAAGTGGATTTAAGCCAAAGGTGGTGCCATGTCCCCAGCAGGGGAGGCTGTGGAACTTCCCAGAGGTCAGGGGGTGGAGGAGGATGCTGGGAAGAGTTTAAACTCAGAGAAGCCTTCCAAACATATTTTTGTCCAGGAAAAAAACAATTTATTGATGGTTCTTGCTCAATGAGGATCTTTGCCCTGATTGTTCAGCTCAAAAACAAACAGGGTAGCCTTCTAAAGAAAAATAAAGCTAGAATGCAAAATGCAGTATTTTCTAGGCAGCGAGGCCTCTGGGGTCAGACATGGCATGCCAGCCACACAGATGGCTTGCAGTACCCCTCACTCCCGGACTCTGCATAAGCAGTTGATGCCAGCTCTCCCCCACAGGATACAGAGCATAAAAGCACAGAGTTTGGGGGCAGAGGCCATAGGTTTGTGCTTTGGCGCCATAGCTTTTTAAGTGTGTGGCCTCGATTAAGTCCTCTAACCTCAGTTTTGTTACCTAGAAAATGGGGCACCGTGATGATAATCCTACCTAAGGGGCTGCTGTGTGGTTCAGAAAACCAAACAGCCCCAAAAGGGCTTTGCAAACTCCTAAGCACGAACACATATGACTTATTCTAC